GAAATGCGCGCTACAGAGTTTTCGGTGGTTGCTTTTTACAACATAAATTACCAGCTCTTTCTTCCAGGGCACTTCTGAGTCGATTCAAACCTCCACTCTTTCAGGGGTCAGCAACCAAGCACAGTAACCATTTGCACCACCCAGGGGTCTAAGAGGGGTGTGTTTTTTCCTCAGGTAAGATGGTAAATATGTGTCCACAAGATGATGCAGGGGAATGCATTGTCCCGAACAAAGGGACCTAGCGTTGTGTGTGAGCCACAGGCCCAAAGGGAGACTGGGTGTGCGGGGCAAGGAGGTGGTGCTGAGGATGAGCAGGCAGGGGTGGCTTCCGGCCCTCAGTAAAGCGGACACGAAGGGCTTTGTTGACCGTGTAGCGGGTAAAGAGGGGCATTACCTCCTCCGGCAGAGGAAGAGGAAGGCACCCGGTAGACCTAGTCAGATCACCCACACAGCCAGGCAGTCCTGCTCTTTGAACGCATGCTGCAGCCTTTGTCGGGGGCTTCCTTAAGGAAACGGGGTCTCTGGGATTATCCCTCTGGGATGATCCCATGCTTAATTCCGGTGCGGACACCAGCTCTTCATGTCAGTGCCCCTCCCCAAGAGTCCTCCCCGGCCCCGGAACGTGGATTAGCCTCTCAGCCCCTCACAGTGACAACCCCCTCTTTTAATTCTCTGCTGAGCGTTTAGGACTGAGAGGTTTTCTGCCTTACTTTGTGTGTACATGGTGATTTCTATATTTTCACTAGAGGTACTGGCATCTACAAAGCCCTGATAACATAGAAAAAGCTCAAGGAAGGAACAAGAAACAGTCCTTTTGCCTCAGGAAAAACATATAGACATGCTGTTCTAAAATAGAAGACAGCCCCATTTGAATATGTAAACTGGAATGAGACTTGGGATTGCTATTGGCGTTGCTGGTAGTTCCGTAAAGTTGGCTCCTGGCTTAGGATGGCCGCATACACCGCAGAACAACCTAGTCTTGTACAATTCCCATGATGGGCGGGTGCACCCCGGGTTTTGTATTGCACTTTTATTGATTGGTTGGTGGAAGTAGATTGCCAGGCCTTTCTTTCTAGCTGTCTCAGTCTGGAAGCTCTCCCATAACCCTTTCAGCGGCACAGCAGCATGTGAGCCTCCACAGGCAGCTCATGAAGCGCATTGACCAGGAAGCTAAGCTAGGTCTCCCTCATGGAAATCCAGAATTCTACTGCCAACCTGTCTGTGTTGCATGCACTGAGATATCTGTGTTGCAA